TAAATGTATATAAATTCCTTTTCTCAAACATTGTTCAAGGTTTATGTTTATTAGGTGCCTAAATTTGCATCAAACCTTTATGAAAATAGACTAAGTATAACAGTACAATGGGACATTAATAACTATGATGAAAATTCAAACATGTTGAAAAATGTAATAAACATAAATTACCTGAAATACTTCAGTGCACAGTGCATGTGTTTGTATATTCAGGCAGATGCCTCTGCCAACAGCTTTGCAGTGTCTAAAACACCTCGGTGCTCCCAGGCAGCCAGTTGAAGCCCAAAAGCAATACCGCATAAATCTACAGGCCCATGGCAGTTTTTCCACCCTGGTGAGAAAGAGGGAGGACAGATGTGAACGGGGGTGGGGGTGGGCTGTGAACAAAAAAAAAAAAAAGAGAGAAATGCTTCAAAGTAAGCACTGATCTGTCAAAGCTGTATTCAGGAGCCAAAGAGAATCATCTGCCACAATGTGAAACTAAAAAGATTCAGCAAAAACTATCCGGAAATCATCATGCACTTTTTTGAAACCGTGGATTTTACCTTGATGCTTTGATTGCTCGTTTAAATTGAAATGGGACAAGTTATTCACTGGATGCAGTACAGCCATTCATTCACGTTAACTTTGCATGGGAGTTGGGTGTGTTGAATGAAAAGTGATTTTTCTTCTCACGATGGAAACTACTCCAGATATGTCATCAGCTGAAGTCCCCAATCTGGCACWGCAGGAGCTTTCTATCAAGGACTTTAAGTGCAGTTTGTCCATTTTTGAGAGGCACCGTGTTTTTCTAGTGGTCTAAAATGACTTGTGTAACTTCTACTTAACTCCGGAGACTATCAAAGAGATATTTCACTATGAACAGTTCTTGTATTCAAGATGCCTTGATGGTTGCACTAATTATTTTATTCTAAAGAAAAATCGAGTAATAAGTGTGCTGAAATCTTGCGAGTGCACACTTCAAAACTGCTGGCAGCTGTGGCACGAAAACYGCTGTTTCTGTGAGTATTACATCTACTCTAAGAATTAATACATCTGCTCTTGTACCCAATACTCATATATGGTGTGCTTTCTGTTCTTTCTTGGATTAGATCGAACAATTTGCTTTCGAACATCATCAACTTTCAAGAAATGATTGCTTCCCCACATGGATTGTTTGGAAGAYGTATTCATTTCATRTTATGTTTCTAAAGACTTGAAACCTATTCTGTTTGGAGGAATAAACTGTCTAAGAGTGTGACTCGACTAAAACCCTGGCCTGTGATTTGTAAATCTGCGATGAACTACACTTCTAATGCCACTATCACTTTCCATCTGGGACCTGGCCTGAGCTCGGGTGGTGGAGATGGAGCCCACCAAGGTGGTGGAAGTGGTGCAGGAGGCAGTGGAGGGCCGTGGGTAACATTCCTGCTTGGCGCTACGCTCTTGGTTATGTGTGCCCTGGGGGTGGCAGGCAACGCTTACACACTTGTCGTGACTCGCTCAGCTGCTTTGTGCCGGAGGGGCTCCATGTATGTTTACATTGTGAACTTAGCTCTGGCTGACCTGCTCTACCTCTCCACCATCCCTTTTGTGGTCTGCACCTACTTCGCCCACAACTGGGTGTTTGGCGAGGCTGGCTGTCGCATCTTACTGAGCCTTGATCTCCTCACCATGCACACCAGCGTCTTCATTTTGGTCGCCATGAGCATGGAACGATACCGGGCCGTGGCCAAGCCCTTCATCGCTCACAGATCCTCAACCCGCAACAGACGCCTCGCAGCTGGCTTTATTTGGGGCTTAGCTTTCATCCTAACTCTTCCAATGATGGTGATGATCCGGCTCAAGGACAGCAAACCTACTGTGGCTGGATTAGTCAAAAGAATTTGCTTCCCCACATGGACACCTGAAGCCTTCAAGGCTTACATTACAATGCTTTTTTTTACAAGTCTCTTAGGTCCTGGATTGCTAATTGTTGGATTGTATGCTGGTTTGGCCAGGCACTATTGGGCAGTCCAGGCTAGTTCAAAAGGTAGCAATCGCTCAGTCAGGAGGAAAGGACTTAAACAAAAAGTGTTATCAATGATCTTAAGCATAGTAATCGCTTACTGGGCTTGTTTCTTACCTTTTTGGGGGTGGCAGCTTGCTAAACTCTTCTCTCCAGACTCACTCAAAGCTTTATCTCCAGCCACTCATAAGTATGTCAATTTCTTTGTCACTTGTCTGACCTATGGCAACAGCTGCATCAACCCCTTTCTTTACACTCTGCTGACTCGAAACTATAAAGATTACTTAGCCCAGAAAAGTCAGTCTGCAGGGTCAAGCAGGGCTGATCTCGGGTCAGTCGTGTCAACCCCGCTGCAGGAACTTTAATGGCTGACAAGAAAACTCATAAAATATTTTTGACACGTAAGCCTTTTAGAGAACATTGTGGTTATGCAGGCTATGCAATGTGAAATTTATGTTGGGTAATCATGTTATCCAAAAAAYGAATTAGATTTTTATTTAAATAATAATAATAATACCATCAGAAAGGAACACCTCTGTAAAAATGACAGAACAACTTTCAAAGTATAAATATCTGGAAATTGAAGTCAGCAAATTGTGGAACATGAAGACTGGAGAAATTAGTCACAGGATTCCAGGCAACATCAAAATTCATGAGATCCAGAAGATTACCCTGTTGAGAACAGCACACATGAGGGTATTATCCCGAAAGTAACCTCAGCSCTTTAACGCCTTAGGACCATGGGTTGGTCCTGGCTCTAAAGGATGTAAACAGATAAGCACATAAAGGAAAAACGACGACAATTGTTTCCATAATTTTTATATGCACACACRCAACTAATCTTTCCTCTCTTTCTAGGGAATATGGTTGTGTTGTGCTACATTCCACAGGACTGGTACAGAGCTCTTTTGAGTCTTGCTGTAAATTGCCTCCACTTCATCGAGGGTGTGTTGAATTTTGTTCCATTAATCCTGTTCTGCACCTGCACTCCACTCTCTGCTCTCTCCAGATTGTTCATTCAAAAGTCTGATTGAATTGACACAAAATTCATGATTTTCAATGTAATTCAAGAGCTCAGTTTTACATTTTCTCTTTGTATTTTTTTCAAAGTTACTTTTAAAAAAGCAGTTTGATTGATTGAAGGTTAGATGAGGGGCATGATGAGCATCATATCATCGTATGTTAGGAGTTTTAAATATAAACCATTTTATGTTTTGTTTGTTATGAAAGGTTGAGTCAAACTATGTGTAAAACAAATTTAAAGCCACTCTGTTATTTTATTTTTTCAGATTTTATTGATACACCCAGTTACTGAAAAGCAAGGCAGGGAGGTAAAATGTGTTTTGGCTCCATCCTAAGGATATTACAGCACATTACAACCAGCACACTGATGTATTTGACACTGACATGACAAACATGAACAATCACATCTGGGCTCAGTAAAAACAACTAATTCAGCAACAAGCAAAAGGCTTTCTGTTATTGCCTTTATTTGATCTTGATTCCCACGATTCTTGCATCGCCACTGACATCAAAGAACTTGTACTTGACATCTCCCAGGCGGTTGGGGAAGTTCATCATGCTGCCATCAGGAAGTTTGATGTAAAACATTTCCATGTTGAAGTTGATGTAAAACTGAGGTATGTAAGAAAAGAGTTCAGAGAAGAGAGGAACCAAAATGTCAGTTCATTTCTTGCAAAAACACAGCGAAAACATTGAAAATAAGTGCAAATTAAGTCATAAATTTATGTTTTTTAACTGAATAATGACTGAGGTTTGTGATCATCCCTATTGAACTGAACAGTTTACAGTACAAGTTTCACTTGACTGGAATAAAATACCAGAAAGCATAAGAACCAATGCATCCTTCAATTTATTCTCAAATACCTTAAAATCACGGCTCCTGGATAATCAATAATGAAATTTTCATTCTGTATTTTTAATGTATTGCTTTGAATTGTTGTGCTAAATGGCTTTTTATTCTTTTTAATCATATTGCTTGTTATAACTGTATTTTTTTTTTATTAAAGAATCTTGATAATTTGCATGTATTTATCTGGGAGCTTGAGGGACTACAGATGAAAACTAGCCTTCTTGACCAATTCTGGCATGTTCAATGTGCAGTGTACCTTCCTAAATAAATAAACAGCAACAACAAAAAGAAGCTGTGCTCCAACAAACTCCAAAAGCACACAACTCACCATTAATTAATGGAGAAATTCAATGGGAAAAAAAAGTTACAATCAGTAAACTATTATTGCAAAGCAGGGCTGTGCATGGGACTGTAATCATACCCAGAAGAGATTTAAACTTCTATTGCCTAAAAAATTAGCAAAAATTGTAAAAAACCCACACCTCACCCACCAAAAAACAAAACCAAAAACATAATGTGATGCAGGCTGCTTACAGAGATGTGAGGAAAATAAAAGCAGGAAGTACTAAAAATGAGTTCCTTTTTTAATTTTAAATACACAGCAATTGGATTTTTGGTGCGGTTAGACTTCTTATTTCTTCTTAACCGTGTTTACGTATTCTATAGTTCAATGGACTGATATATTACATATGTATTTATTTATAATGAAAGTAAATTGAAATGTTTGGATAACATTAATCAGTTTTAGAATTAAAGAAGAATAAAATGAAGGGGATTGAAACATTATTTCTTAAGAGTTGAAATAGAAGGCTATTTTTTTTGTTTGTCTGTTTTTGTTTGGAGACACATTGCCATTAAAACAAAAGTATTTTTTTCTCTATTTTTCAGCAAAGTTTGGTGTAGGCCAATATCTAATTTCTCACTGTTCACAGGAAATCTTTCTTGTCAATTTGGTGATAACTAAAAATCAGACTTGGGAGTTTAGAGTTTGCTTGTACTTTGAATCTCATTCAAACACACCTTGCATTCTTCCCCACGGGAAAAAGGCAAGAATCCCTCATGTTGCTCATCACCCCAGGACCCCCCAGACGAGTGGTTGCAGACGATGGTGTTGGAGTCAAAGCGAGGGTTGAAGTGCAACGCGATGTTCTCGGGATCATGGCCAATGTTGATAGCAAATCTGCAGTGGAAGTCAAAATTAGAGGTCAGAGTGATTCAAAAGGGGAAAAAAAGATCTAACACAAAACTTTAAGCTACTGCTTCTTGATCAAAATGAATTAAATCTGGATATTCAAACATACCTGCTGCAGTCGTGATCGGGCTTGATGCGGATCTTGAACTCCTGTCCCTCCTTGAATGTCATGTCCTTGACTTTCTGTCAACGAAATACGAAGGAAAAACTCATTGAGTAAAATGATTTTGTAATGAAATGAATGTTGAATTCAATTTTTACTAGCCGTGTCTACTTTAGGCTTATTTTAATATCCATGTCTGTGAATTTCCCTTCAAAAAAAAAAAAAATACTATATTGTGTGAGTGAAATTATTGAAAGCAAAAGAGGTTTTATGCCATATTTATTCAGATATTTTAGTTGAGAACGTTGAGAACATCAGGTGGACAATTTGTGAGCCACGTTTGATCAGTGAGACTTTGTAATGAGAGGGGTGATGATGGGCCCCACACTTATCTTAGCTGTCGATGGTCAACCAGATAAAAACAACGTGCAGGGTCGTAAAAGGACTGAAACAGGAAGGTGTCCTGTTTGTTCACTGACATGTGACAACCATCTATGCGCAGTAAAAACGTAAAAAAAAGTTGGTCTCATGAGCTTTTTCATATTTATCTATAGAAAAGCTTACAATAATAAAAAAAGGGCAAATAAACTATTAATGATTATTATAAAGAGTTGCACTTCATACTTCCCAATGCTTACCAGGAATGTCCCATCGACTTCTGTGAAATGGTTCCCCTGGCCAATAAAGCCATAAATCCCGTTTACAACTGTTCTTTTTTTTATCTATGTGCTAGGCGTCATGGCGTAGTTCAAACATGAACTTCAATATTTAGTGTCCTATATCTGAACCACACCTATGATTACCTCAATTTTTACAGCCCCCCTCTCAGATCAGTACTGGTTTATCATTGACTTTACAGAGAAGGACAGTATTAGTTGTGAGTTATAATTCATTAATCCCTACATGGATCTCAGTCATTCAGCTCAGGGACCACATGCAAAATCACCTAATTATACCAGTTTCCTTGTCATGGACATAGTTTTACTTGACTTATTGTAAAAGATGTGGTCTGGGAATTGAAAACATAATTCGTATAACATCATTAAGAGTTAGTTTATGCTTGCTCAAACTTGATTTCTGTCTACACATCGTCATATACCCCACACCTCCTAAAATAAATCTGGATTTTTTTAGACTTATATACCACCACCTTTACAAAACTTGCTGAGTCTGTTTCATTAATCTCTCATTTTCATTTAAACATTGTAAAAAATGACTATTGATTGCACAATCACAAAGTTGAGCCCCTTTAAAGTAGCTGATGCTTTGTCTTGATGAAGTTTTATATGTGTGATACATAAAACATTTGCAAATCTAACAAAAAATCTAATTAATTAAATAATCTTGTTAAAATAGGTTTTAAAACAAATTAATTCAGGAAAAAAGCTACTATTACATTTAGAACTTCATCCACGTGGAGAACAATAAAATGTATGAATTAATATTTTTTTCACCACTTACCATCTTGGCTGTCTTCAGTGGGTTGTGCCTCAAGTGACAAAGTTCTGCAGGCAGGTGAGACTATATATACACTGTACTGGTGACGTGTGGTGTCAGGAAGAAACCAATGAGGAAAGAGTCAGACAAACAGTGTATTCAGTGAAAAAAAAAAAAAAAAACTTCCTAATTCTAGTTTGCATTATAGCTTGACTTGGCTATAGCTGCAAATCTAATTGTCTTTCATGCAATCACATATACAATTGTAAAATTATTGTAAACAGAAATTATGCATTTTTGGTAAGCTGTAAAGCAGGAGTGTCAAACTCATGTCCTYAAGGGCTGCTATCCTGCATGTTTTCTTTGTTTCTTTGCTTCAACATACCTGAATCAGTGCTCCAATTAACTCCTTAAATTCTGTACAAGCCTGTTAATCATCCATTCATGCAAATCAGGTGTGTTTGAGCAGGAAAACAAGAAAACATGCAGGACAGCGGCCCTTCAGAATCTTTTATTGTCATTCACACACAACATCAAAGATGCAATGCAGAACRCCCTTGAGGACCGGAGTTTGACACCTGTGATGTAAGCATTTAATAAAATATATAAAAGGCCACGCGGTTTAAAAATAAACTGTAAATGACTTGAAGCAAGAGACAAAAACATGTCAACACAAAGTGTTTCACACATAAATGTAAAACTGAACTTTTTGTATTTCTTTGGCATTTTAATACATTGTCAGCAGTCTTTATAAGACGTCTGTTTGATAAGAAACAAGTGAATGTTTTGCCTTTTTTTTCTTAAAAATGTCTTGAAGTTACTCTCAGTGATTGTACAGACTACGTGTCATGGACTTCAAGTGTTGTGGTTTGAGGGTGTCACTCGGTGGAGTGGGCGTGGTTTTGTCCCTCATGCTACATTCACTGAATGTAGGATTTTGTAAGTAAAAAAGCACACTGTGATTATTTTCCCTTTTGCAAAAGGMAAACGTTTGTTGGCAGGATTTTTTTTTATTTAAGAACAACAAAGCTTAATAATTGCATTCGCAAAAATACATAGGCTCTGCGTTAGCAGCTTTCACATACATACTGTTTAGTGAAAATGATGAATGACTTCTTTCCTTGTAAATTGTTCTTTAAATTAAATGTGTTACTGGTAGTCACGGCATGATGTTATCTTCTTGTAGTATTATACTACACTGATGTACTGCTAAAACATAAAAATAAGGATTTTACTACAAATTTATCCTTAAAATCTGCATATATTTTTTGAGTGTCTCAAAGGYAGCACAAGCTCTACGTTCTCGCCGTAGCCAATCGCGTGCCCCTATGTTTATAAGGGGCGTGGCTTAAAAGTCAGATCCCAGAAATCGAAGAGCCGACCAGAATAAACAACAACTTTGTTAGCTCCTCGGCTGCTAGGTACTAACTTTTTGAATACGTTTAACTTATACCAGCTATTAAATATGCAATTTTGTTTCATCCACCAATAAAAACTACTCTTGACGTGCTGACACAGTTTAGACTATTAGATAAGATGCTGATGCTAATTAATTCTGGTATCGTTGTGTAAGTAGTTACTATAAGTTCAATGTTTGGCTAGCAGCTTTAGCTCGGGCTGCTTTGGTAATCAGCCTAACTTTACTAATTGGCAATAGCTAATACGTAATCAATGAATCCAAAGCAAAGAACGCGTGTTCGGTTGTTTTACTTGTGGCTGTTTTGCTTGTTTAGAGATGGCGTCGGTAACGGCGACGACAGCTGTGTGCCCAGGCCCGGGACAAACAGAGAGCATAGTGCCTGCCTSTATGTTTGCACCGGACCGGGACTGTACCGAGGATCCGGCCGGCGGAGAACTTGAGGACAGCGAGGGCACAAATGGAGAGGCCCTGGATCATATAGACCTGAGCAGCAAGGTTGGACTGGCTTGTTAATTATAAACAATTAAACTATGTTTTGATTCGTCATACGTAAAGAGCTACACAATCCCTGCAACAGGTGTGTTAGAAGCAGCATATGCTGAGTTGGCAAAACACTGGAGACCTTTCTATATGGTGGATTGCACATGCAGACAGGGATTATAGCATCTACTGAATAGATCAGAGAGTTGATGAGGTTGTATTGACAATTTTCAAAGTACACAGCTCAAAAAGTCTGCAACTCCTGAAAAAAAAAATACTGATTTTATTTGGACGTGTACGTTTTGAGTTGTCTCTGTCCTTGGCTCTCTCTTTTCAGCTGGTTCTTGTAAGCCCATCTGGAGAACAGTACGATTCTTTACTACGGCATCTGAGAGAGCGGCTAGATGAGGGCTGCGGAGAAACGATATATGTAGTTGGAATGGGATCAGGTATGATGGACAACTTTCAAGTTTTTTTTTTTTTTTTTTTTTTTACTTGAGCAAATATCTGAGCAAAAAAAACATCTAGTTGATGATAGTTTTTAGGTAGGATTTTGTGCTAAATGTTATTGTTGTCCTGTCACAGAAAAGGTATAAGAAGGTAAAGTGTGGTATAAATATCTTCTAGTGTAAGGAACATCTAAGAATAAAAAAAGTTTGTATTACTAAAATATCCTGAGGTCTTTGATATTTTATTTCTTAAGAATTTGAGAAGTAAATTGACATCCATACTGAGATATTTAATATCACTACTAAACCTGGAATGATGAGACAAATCCAAAAATCTGTGAAATATGTTTTATTTACTGAGCGAGTGAACTGTCTTTGTGTAACACTTTATTAAGCGTTTCAAAAGGTTTGAATTAAACTAGATAAAGGAAGCATTTTTGTTAATAGTTTGTGTTTTTCAGAGGCAGATTTAAAACAGCTTAAAATGCTAGAAAAAAGTAGCTTTTTTTTGGAATAAATAATAATAATAATAATAATAAAACGATTTAGACTGGGGGGAAAAAAAGAAGGAAAACATATCCACTTTCTGTTTTTTGTTATCACTGCTTCATCATAGAGATCATTCTCTTATTTAAAACACATGCTGTGCCACATGCTGTTTAAAACGACTATAATTTATGAGTGGAATTGGAACTCTTATACATCTATAAGAAGCCCAAAGTACTACTTTTAAGTGCCAGCATTGTCCCTTTTGTCATTTGTGCCTCCCACACGGCTAATCCCATAGGTTTGTCTTTGGTTTTCAATCTGTAACGTTCTGCTTCACACAAACATGAGGGCCTTTGTTGGTAACCAGATTTGTGTTTTTTTATTTTATTTTTTAATTTTTTTATTTTTTTTGCTTGTTACAGCAGCATGCCTGACCCATGTGGC